AACAAATTACAGGGATGCAAAGTGACATACAGTCTTTGCTTATGCCAGTAGAAATCTCGTGATCATGTATATAATTATCTATGCAGAAACCACAAGAATATAACAATGTGAATCATATTTGTTTTTTTAAAAGCATTAAAGAGTGATTTAAAGATATCTGTGAGATTCAGGAGAAAGCATTTTTTTATTGCAGTCAACACCATACATAGCCCTGATAGATCCAGCAATTTTTTCTTTCTCCTTGATAGATCCAGCAATCTGGTCTTATCAGCAATATCAATATTATAATTAAAATTTGTAGCTTCGTCAGCATGTGTGGGCAGCAAAGGAATAAGGAAACATTTATTCCATGCAGAGAAGACAAGAAACGGAATGTTTCTGCTGTGGTGCCTTCTTCATCCCAGGTGCTGATGACCAACAGCCCTGTACCACTACCATGCCAATAGACATTAGTAATGATAGGAATCCAGGTAAGAACAACAGCTGTACAGACACAACTACGTCAGTGTGAGGTTTAGTATGGACTTAGATTTGAGTATCATCTGAATAGAAATTCACATTCCAATCATGTGATGTTAATAAGTGACCAGTTGGGAACATTCAGAATAGTGGGGGAGCAGTACAGAGCCCTTCAGGAACAAGGATTTCCAGCATAGTTTCTGTGCTGTTATTGTCTGAAACCAAACTGGAAGGTGATGAAGAGGTTATTTGCAATGAGATCCATAACTGAATATTAACAGCAACACACTTTAGCCAGAGAAAGAAGTTAGATATAGGGTGAAAACCAGAAAGGGGCGAACCAGCAACAACAGTCATGCAGGAAGGAGGTGGAGCAGTATAACGCTGGTGGACCCACTGTGATGCCAGATGTTCTCAATCTTGTGACTAAAAAATTGTCTAAGAAAGTGTTACAAAGTTGGGACGAAGCAGGTAATGTAGTAGGTATGTTTGGCTTGAACAGTCTATTGATGGTGAACAGGTATCTAGGATTAAGGTTGTTCTCAATGATATAGGAGAAGTAGCTGGATCCAGAGGTTCCGGATCCAGAAGAAGCAGCAGACTCCACTACAACCTTGTGATTTAATCAGGTGCTCCTACAAGACTGAAGACGCACATTTACACCAGAAATACCTCTGTTCTAGTTTGCAGGAGACTGCCTTCATGTGTAAATGGCCAGTATACCATGTGACAGTACAGGAGATGGTTCAGGTTATAGAAGGAGCTAAGGTCTCAAGAGAATTAAAAGAAAAATAAGGTATTAAGAGTAATTAAAAGAGTGCTATTAAACACTTGTACATTGCTCATTACATTTCTCTCCACCAGTTCAATCCAAAAAAACCTCTCAGTGATGACTCTCCATATTTCAACAAAAATCCCACTGTGAATGATGTGGCCCACTGTCTTGTCTACGTTGTATCAGCAAATCGACTGAGCACTATGGATGAATATGTTCTGAAGTTTCTGAAACATATCAGATCAAATGTCTCTGACATTGGTAAGGAATTTTTCATGTAAGAGGCTATGAAATGTTTAATGTTTAAAATTAATAAAGAAAAATCAAGTTTCAAATTGATGTCACCCAATACAGTAACAATCTACCAGTGAGTCTAGAGCATTCAGGGACACCACAAAGTACTATACACTAGTTATTTTGTTTAAATGTTTCTAAAATGTGATATAGTTTTCATACTAAATGTTACTGATTAATATTTATTT